CAAGTTTCGCAGATGAAGGTAAGTTTAAAATATCCTCAGCGACATTATAAGAAGCTAATTGGTCAACAGCAGAAGGAATGCGTGGTATTTTTCTTTGAGGTTTCTTATCCTTTGAAGTTGAAGTTCCTTCTTCAATATTTATTAGCATAGTAAGAGGAATTGGTTTACTTATATTTCTATTTCTCAATCTCATTTCTTGTTGAGATTCAGACATTCTTTTACTCTTTTCTTTGGCATCCCTCCTGTTGATGGTATACGGAGTGACTCTTACTCTTGGAGTAGCATAGACTTCTTTATAGTTTTCTTCTTCATCTTCTGAATCAAGGTCAAAGTAGACTTCAACCATATTTGCATCCTTTCTCTTTTTAGGAGGCAAATTACATTCCCTAGAGTAATGACCTTTCTTTTGACAATTAAAGCAAGTGATTTGAGATTTATCTGATTTTTGTCCTGTGATTTTAGGTCTCGTTTGGGTTTGAACATTTAAGGTTGAGACTATATTAGCATAGTTAAGAGTTAACTTTTCCATTTTTTTAGTTAAGGCTTCTAGAGCATTATCATTAGGAGCTCTAGCCTTTCGATCTACTTGATATTCTTGTCTTTCAGCTTGTCTTTCAAAATAAACTTCAGCTTCATAGTCGATAGCCTCTTTAATTGCTTCATTAATATCTGCAAGTTTACTAGCAGCAACATATCGTACTAAATCCTTTTTTAATCCTTTTAAAAATAATCTAATAACATATGGTTCTGGTAGTTCACTATCAGGGTCTACCTTCTTTCTTAATCTCTTGAATCTATTAGTGTATGATTCCACCTTTTCATCTCTTCCTTGAAGAATATCATTGAGTTCATAGTGCCATTTATTTTGTTGTTCAATCGTAGAGAAATGGTCTACGAATTTAAACACAAAGGTCTCAGCACTATCTTTATCAGCCGCTACTTTCCAACCTTGGTCAAAGGTAGTATTCTCATACCAATCAGCAGCTATATGATCGAGAAATCCTCCAGCAATTTCAACCATTCGTTCATTATTCCAGTTGTTAACTTTCACAGCTTTCTTAAAATGAGCAATCCAATCAGATGGATCCTCTTCACTTTTTCTTGAGAAGCGTTTTACTGGGACTAAATTGGTTTCTCTTTTCGGTGGTTGTTGTGCTGGTCTGTTTTGAACTCCCTGTACGAGTTGATCGATAGAATTAGTGAGTTGAGTAACGAAGGTATTAAATTGATCTGTGTCCATTATGCTTCTTCTTGGAGGTTCTAATGAAAGAGTTACTAAAGGTTGTAATTTGGTTACTATAGGACGTTCAAAGTTGACTGAATAATAAGATTCTTCTAGTATGCGAATAGCAATAAAATCAAAATCGAATCCAAAATCGAAAGGGTCAACAAAGTTTAAACTATATAACAATAATTTGGCTTCTCTTTTTAGAGTTTTAATGAGCTGTAATTCACTAAAATGTTATTGATACTGATCAAACAAAGTTACTGTTTTTCCAGTATATACAAGAGCACCAAATTCAGCGCTAATCCAATTCCAAAAA